TAGTAAAGGGATTTTTTTTTGTAAATTTATATTATACCTACCTATTTCCTGCTTTATCCTCTATTTATAAGTATTATTTTTGTGTCATAGGACAGTAGGCGCAATAGCACTTTAATGAGTGTTTATGGGTATACACGATTTTTAAATGTTAACATCATCTACACGCGTTGTTACACGTGGTGTTTAGTGCCAATTAATGGAAAAGACTTTTAGCGACTAAATGTTGTAGTCTATTCTATTCTAAATCTATTCAATGCTTTGAACTTATAATTATTTAAATCATTGTCATTTCTTATACAATATTTTGAACCAATAAGCTTCAAACTACACAATACAAAGTATATAAAGGTTATATGCAGTATAAATGCCGTAAAATGCTGCAACTTTGCAAACTAAGCCCAAGTTTGCCTATTTCGTTTTAATTATGATATTTCGCGTTTGTTTAGTTGTTTCTTATTTTCTACCATTTGGTAGTAAAATATCATAGGGCAACATATTTTAAATTTTTTTATAAGGGTAACTCCATAGTTACTCTGCCAGTTGTGCGATAAAACCGGTGCAAGTGGGTGGATTTTTTTTGTGTCCTGCATTTTTTTCATTTTCAGCTGAAGAAGAAGTGTTTTCGTGCAGAAATTACACCTCATGGTAAGGGAATACTATCCGTTATTTGTAATTTTTAATATTTCTATAAACAGGGCTCAATTTAATCAAAATAATTTAGTAGGCAATGTTGTGAACTGTTTTGAAAACTTGAGTGATACAACTTTGCCTGGGACTAGGGTTGTCACTAGTTTGATTTAAATTAATGGTATATACCTTAATATCATTTTATTCCATCTGTATTTTATCACTGCTGTGCAAATACTTCTGTGACTTTTAAACCGAATAAAAACTGTTACGTTGTTTGATGGGTTTAATGATTCAAAAGTTAAGAAGATGTATTTTGATTAAAAAGACAGAAAGAATCTTGAGACTTTATTTTAGGAACCGACGACGACAAGACAATTAAACCCTTGGCTATTTCATTAAAATCATAGAGTATTCACTTCTAACACGAATCATCAGCGATTTTTCCGTCGAGTACTTTTGACAACACAAAAAAGCTAAAAGCAGCCTGGAGTCTGTAATTTTGCTCGATATATGACAATATGGTACTAACTTACGACTACGACCACTTTGTTAAAGTTTGACGATTATGAAAATAGCAATAGACTCGCCCCTTACTACATATATGAGACTTAAATACATTTTGCCAGTTATGATATTGTGTTTTTTGTATTTAAATAAGTCTTATATCTATTACAGTTATATAATGGGGAAGAATAAAAAGCGAAGCAGGAGAAAACTAGGAGCACGTAATTATGCTGATTATTCAGCGGAAATGTTAGACGTTGCAGCAGATCTCGTCCGAAACAAATTTATTTCGTCATACGAAACGGAAAAGCAGTTTGGGATTCCGCGTCGGAACATTCTCAATAAATCTAAAAACATACATATTAAACCATTTGGGCGACCCGCAGAGCTATCAGCTGAGGAAGAAGCCCATATCGCAGACGTAGTGAATCTTTCTGCTGAATTTATTTGGCTGTCCTTTAACTATTTTAGATCTGCGCATTGTAGTTTACAATCATTTAGTAAAATGCAGCAAAGATTACCTTTTTAAAGGAAAAATGCCAGGTGAACGTTGGGCTCGTGCTTTTCTACAACGTCACAATTTTTCCCAAAGGGCAACTCAAAATATAAAAAGAAGTCGTGCTGCGAAAACAGTAGAGGAAAATAATGAATATTTTAATAATCTTGAAACTTCACTTAAAGACATTCCTGCCGGCAACATCCTTAATTTTGACGAAACAAATTTGAGTGACGACCCCGGGTTAAAAAAGTGTATTTTTAAACGAGGTACAAAACACCCAGAAAGGGTTATAAATACCAGCAAAAGTGCAGTTTCAATAATGTTTAGTGGAACTGCTGATGGCAATTGTCTACCACCCTATGTGGTTTACAAGGCAGATCATTTGTGGAGCCCACGGGAGCTGGTGTGAGAATGGACCAAAAAATGCTCGGTATAATCGAACCAAATCTGGGTGGTTCGATATGATGTTTTGATGATTGGTTTAAAAGTATAGTTGTGCCGTGGGCTAACTCTCTAGACGGCGTTAAACTTATCATCAGTGATAACTTAGCATCGCACCTAAGCGTCGAGACAATTCAAATATGTCAAAGTAAAAACATCAGATTCGTTTTTCTTCCAAAAAATGCTACACACCTAACTCAGCCGCTAGACGTTGCATTTTTTAGACCAATGAAACGATATTGGCGTGAAATTTTAACAAATTATAAAGCTACATACAGCACTGCAAGTACAATCAATAAATACCATTTTCAGCATCATGTTTACAAGAACAAGAAGAACAAAAAACATATGCTCTTTCGGATTGAGTGATATTGATTTTTATGTTGAAAATTCTCTTGGACTTCAAGAAAACTGCTGGATAATAGCTAAATTTGCTTCGAAAGTGTTAAATACTTTGTAGGGAAGGTTTTATCAATAAATAATCAAATTCCTAAAGTGAAATTGGCACGAAAAGTAAAAAAATCTAAGTGTGGAACGGTATTCACCTACCCTAACATTGAAGACATATGTGATGTACATGATTTAAAAGATTTCAGTTTTACCTGATCCCCAGATTTCTCGTCAAAGACATTTCATATTTAATTTAGATTTCGATAAATATAACATACAATGAGTAAAATGTTATAACGTTCTAAACTAATGAAACAATCAGACGAATATTTTCAATATTTTTGCTATAGAGTGCTTAAGCTGATCAATTCAGTAAAACTATTTCGAAGACAATTTTCTACCTTTGCGAAGAGGGAATACAAATGATTTCTTTTATTCCGCTACCGTAATTTGACTAATAATTTTGTTATTTTGATTGAAATTATTTTATAGATTTTTGTGTTTTGGGTACTTCCTATGTAGGTATGTTCCAAAATTTTTGTTTTTATTTATGTACCCATAGTTCGTAGTTTAATTAAACTTACTTACAATTTTAATATCTTCTTATTAAAACAGTATTTTTTAATATTAAATGCTTCTAGAAATAATAGACACGACTTTGAATAAACGGAGAGCAATTATTAGGTTGTTTTTAAATGTATGATTATTTTATACCAAAGCTTTAAATATTGTTTCTAATTTGTGTTTCTTTATTATATTGTTAATTTTAATTGTTAGTGAGAAAAAGACGTAATCAATATTATCGACTGTTACTGTTACCCACATAATTTAGGATATTTTGTTTTTAATTTTATGAAGGACAGTTTCGTTGTCGTTTTAATATTAAAATAATACTAAACTAATTAAAATATTTTCAGGTAAAACCGTGCTACAAAAATTGTTTGTTACATTAATAATTCTAAGACGTTACTGCCAAAAACATTTGTAATTTTTACTTGTAAGAAGCAATGTGTTTAATTTTTTTTAAAGAATAGAAATGTTAAAAAATTTATCTATATTTTTTGGACAACCCTGAAGTCAACGATATTTTTGTATCCATACAAAAATATCGTCTTTTACATACAACTTTGTCTACGACTTTTAGTGCTTGCAATTAATAAGAATAACATAAATTAAAAAGATTTTGGTTCTACCTGGCAAGGAATAAGATCTTTTTCATATAAAACTCATTAGAAGCTACAATAATAAATTGGTTCAGAGATACGAACAAAAAACATCGAAATCCGTGCAAAGTTGCAGCATTTTACGGTAATAAAATAAGGAAAAGTTTTATAATTATTCATATTTATATTTAAATGAAGGAAAATTTTTATATAATTAACATGGCAACATATTAACATATTTTTATATCAGTGACAACACTTAAATTTTACTTCCTTTTTCATTTTGACTTGTTTTAGGACAAGTTTAAATGAAGAAGGTAGCAAGTACAGAAATAAGTGTTTTAAATGAATACATATAGTTCTATTGGTTTAAATATCTCTTAGTGTTTTATATTTCCCAAAATCCAAAAAGCCGAATTTACTTTAAAGATTTGCGATTGGGAATAGCATTATGTATATCGACGCTGGAAAGGAAAAATTATCCAAGCGACATTTTTGGCCATATTGAGTTATAAACATTGTTGGAATCGCCTGATTTTTCTGCGTCGTTTGGTCTTACTCACGTCCTTCTACGACGACTTTTGATGTCGCTTCGACATTATGGAATTCGCGAGGTTTCACTTTTTTTTCCTTTCTAATCGACAAAATTTTCGAGCATTTTTGAAAATTTGGTGGTAGTCGTAATTGTGAAATGCTAAATTTGACTTTGGTCAAGTTTGACATTTCTGTTCGTACGGTAATTACTCCACTTAGTAAAATTTTTCCAGTATCTGGCAATATAGTGTAAGGCGCATAGTATATTTTTTCCTCAGAAAGGATTTGTTTTTTTATCACTTAGGTAATTTTGGCTGATTTGGTTTTTTTCGAACATGGCGTTTAGTTAAAATTGGCAGTTTTCTTTTTTTAATATTCAACTGGTTCAGCAAATATTACCTGCTTAAAAATACAACTGACTGTCGGATAGTCAATTTTTACCTGCCGTTTTCAAGTGTTATTTTATTATTTAGGCAACTTTTACTTGACCGTATACGATTATCCAATGTTGGTTACATCCTATGGTTGTGTCACGCACAGGCGCAAAGTTTATTTTTACCTAAAATAATTCACATAAAAAACGTCGGTTACACTTACGGATAACGCGTGAGCAGTCGCTTGAGCATGCAGTGAAGTTAGTTTCAAAGTAAAAAAAGATACTTCAGAGCACGGCCGGTCGTCGCTTGGGAGACACGCGCACGCTGCAATTCCGTTGTCAACTGAGGTACCGCTTACGCTTATCTTATGACAAACACGAAAACTGTAAGTTGAACTAACAAATAAATTCGTTTTTAATGCTGTTTTCGCGTTACTACATGGTGTACCTTTATTTCAGAACAATGGACCGAAGAAAACGTAGTCATAGTCTTTTGGAAAAGGCTCTTAAAGAATCGGGAATCTCTTTTAAAACCAAGGACGATTTACAGTCGGTATGTATGTAATTTTCTTTGCATCTCTCATTGTTGTTTCGTATTATTATTATTATTTATGTTATGTACCTACCTATATTAGATATCTGTTTTGCTATCATAGCTAGATAAGGGCTCCGTTTAGCTTGTTAGGTACTCATTGATTGAAGGTCACGTCTCGTCACTGGCGCTATATAGCTATATGGCCAAAGTCGTGTGTTTAAAAGTAATATTGGTACTGCTGCTTTAAGGACCTACACAACTATCTTTCAATTGTTATTCTCTTATGTTTATAAAAAGTGAGTGCTAGCTTAGAGGAAAGTAGGTAGGTGTATGTTTGGATTATAAATAATTTGGTCAGAATTTATAAAAAATATGAAACTTTTACCATGTTTTAGGCCAGTAAAAAGTCTAAAGAAACTGACCCAGAGAAGCAGAAAGCACCTGGACGTAAAAGTCAGACTGTCACTGAGGAAAAGAAACAGACGAATAAAAAAAATATTGCAGACAACTAAAATTTGAAGAGTCTGTAAGTACCTACCGACGTATTTTACTATATTTTTAAATATAAGACATATCTTACTAATTTAATTATTGTACCTACTAACTGCTTTCGTGGTCTAGTGGTCTGAGCGTTGGTCTCGGGATCCGGAGTATGTGCCCCGACTTTAAGAATCGTACCAGACGGTACGATTCTTGGGGGGGAACACACAAAGTTGATATTTTTCACTTTGTGAATTTGTTCCCAGTTTGATTAGGACATTGCAGGCTGAACCACCTGATTATCCGTAAGAAAGATGGTTCCGTGTTTCGGAGGGCACGTTAAGCCGTCGGTCCCGGTTGCTGTCTATGTTCACTTAGACGGCGGCGGTCGTAACACAACCATGTCAGAGGCCTACTCGTAGTAGTAGGGAGTTTAAAAACTCTGACACCAGGGTTCATCGGTTCGTTCGTTGACTCGGTATCCCACACGGCAAAAAGATAAACTAAATTATTTCTAATATTAATTTGGCTTCTTAGTGAAGTTTTCCTTTAGGGTATTCTACCTTAAGAAATTCCCTGGTTCGATTACTAGGGATACTAAAAATTTAGATTATATGGTATAAAAATAATTTGCTGATGATTCTGTACTTTGCAGAGTACATTTTAGCTGACTTATTTCGACTAATGTCATTGAGAGTAATCAATCATCATTAATTAAATCTTTGGCCATATGGTTATGTCATGATTTTAGATAAAATAAATTAAAGAAGCTACTTCGTTTATTTCAGAATGAAACGCGTAAGTGTTCTTCAACTGCGCCTGTAATATCACGACGTATTACTGAAGATGAAGAGAACTATGACCCTGAGGAAGTTTTCGCAGCTCTTACAGATACCATGCAGCATATCCACAGTACGGACTTACTTTCGAATGACGATGCAGCATCAGGAGTTTCTCACAGTATGGACATATCTCCGATTAATGATACCGTTCGAGATAATTGGCAGGTTTATCTCGATCCTTCGCAGACTGGAACAACAAGTCCTCGCAGTATGGACTTACCTTCGAATGATGATTCAGCTTCAGGAGTCCCTCGCAATATGGACTTACCTTCGATTGACGATTCAGCTCCAGGAGTCCCTCGCAGTGTGGACTTACCTTCGAATGATGATCCTGCTCCAGAAGTCCCTCGCAATATGGACTTACCTTCGATTGACGATCCAGCTCCAGGAGTCTCTCGCAGTGTGGACTTACCTTCGAATGATGATCCTGCTCCAGAAGTCCCTCGCAATATGGACTTACCTTCGATTGACGATCCAGCTCCAGGAGTCTCTCGCAGTGTGGACTTACCTTCGAATGATGATCCTGCTCCAGAAGTCCCTCACAATATGGACTTGCCTTCGATTGACGATCCAGCTCCAGGAGTCTCTCGCAATAAGGAGTTACCTCCAAAGGATAAGGCTGCTCTAGGTGTAAGTACTCGTAAACGAAAAGCCAAAACAAGTATCCGATATGTTGATTACATGTCTGATGAAGATTTTTCCACTTTATTCTGTCTTGGTGAAGAGAATGGCGCAGTTGATTCTGACGAATGGGTAGGATCTGACACGTCAAACAGTGATGAAGAAGAAGACCAGTCAAATAAGAAAAAAACAGGAAAAAATAAGAAAAAGAAGCGGAAAGAGTCAAGTAAGAATAAAAACAGGGAATTGCTTGAAAATAATACTGAAGAAAATTTGGATACAGAAAACGAGAACGTAGGAGAAAAAGGTTTAAAAAGAGTGAAGAAAACACGAGAAAGGAAAGGGCTGTTTCGAAACAAACAGGAAAAGAATACGTAAGAAAAGATGGTCAATTAGTGCCAGAAAAATCAATTCAACCTAATCCATGTAAGGGTAAGAAATGTGGGAACAATTGTGAAAACGTAACCGAAGAAAACAGGCAACAAGTATTTAAACATTTTTGGACGCTTACCCCTGAACGCCGTAGTAGTTCAGAATTGCGCAGTTACACATATAAGTATTGCATTACTGATGGTGAAGGAAAAAGATCTGTATGCTTACAGTTTTTGGCAGCAACATTAGATATTTCACAAAAGTGTATATATTACACGGTAAAAGATGCTTCCTCGGGAAGTGCTAAAGAAGACTTGCGAGGAAAATGTGAACCACACAACAAAACCAAACCTAGTACTAAAGAGTCTGCCGTCAATTTCATCAAAAGCCTACCAGCCGTCCCCTCACATTATTGCCGTCATGATTCTACCCGGGTTTACTTGCCGCAGGAATACAAAAATATTGCACACGTATACAGCGTTTACAAAGAACGCAACGTGAAAGCTGGCATAGACATGGTTAGTGAAAAGATTTTCCGAAAAATATTTAGCGAAGAATTTAATATATCATTTCATGTCCCTAAAAAGACAAGTGCCTGAAATGTTTACAGTTGCAACAAGCAGATCTCAGCGATCCAAAAAAAAAAAAGAAAGAAAAGGAAGATCATGAAACAGAGAAAGAAGAAAGTTTTAATAGATTTTCTACTCATAAATCTATACACAAAACTGATCCTTCCACATTATGTGCAAGCTTCGACTTGGAGAAGGTGTTGAATACTCCACATGGCGAGTCAATGCTGCTTTATTATTCAAGAAAAATAGCGGTATATAATCTATGTTTCTACGAAAACGGAACACGTAGAGTAACTTGCTATTATTGGGATGAAAGCAACGGGAAAAGGGGTGCAAATGAAATCGCAAGTATTCTCCACAGGTACATAAAATCTGTGGATGAAAGAGAAAATATAAAACACCTTCTTCTATACTGCGACTGTTGCCCTGGGCAGAATAGAAATCGCACTGTCCTAGCCATGATACATTCTACTTTGCAGGAGTGTAATAATCTTCAGACGATACAAATTAATTATTTACTAACAGGACACACATATATGCCTGTTGACAGTGTACACGCCGTTAATAGAGAACAACCTTAAAAAAACTATAATTCATGCGCCTTCGCAATGGTACACTGTATTTGCTACGGCAAGAAAAGAACCTTTTCCGTATGAAGTTGAAGCAATGACTTTTGAAAGTTTTAATAGATGGGACGTCGTTGGTGATAAATACTTCAAAGGGAATTTGACTGAGAAAATTAGCAAAGTTCGTGTCGTGACTGTCAAGAAAAATAAGCCTTCCATGATTTCTATCAAAGACTCCATGAACGTTAATGCAAAATCGTATAATGTCGAAGTTCAATCCAAAACCAAAGGTCCACTGATGCCTTGCTACCGATCACGACTGCCAATCGCAGAGGCCAAATATAATGATCCCATGAAACTTTGTAAAGATAAAGTAATACCTGCCCAATTCCATCACGAATACTCCATTATCCCAAAGGCTACTAATGCAAAAGATACCTTGCCTGAATCAGATATAGAAGATGATGAATAATAATTACAACATACAGATTATTTCACGTTGTTTTTTTTAGAAGTTTATTTTTAGTTCGGTTTATTCAATGAGAGCTTTAAACGGGTTCCTATTATTTTAATTGTTACTTCATATTATAATGTAGATGATGACTGAAAATATTACTAGTTGTAAGTTGTTTTCGCACAGTACTTATACTCTGTCAATTATAGGATGGTTCCCTGGCGGCTGTTAGATTCATACTATAATTGATAGAGTATAGTTGATATGGCTACTGTTATTTTTAGAATTTGAATTAAGTTCGTTTTTTTTATAAGTTTTCTTTTTGTTACATATTGTTTTCTGAATGCCTATGAGGTAAATTTGTTGTGACTGAAATGTTACTAGTTTTGTAAACATATTCAAATTTTATATTCATTATAATAATATTAATAGGACTAAATATTTACATTTAAGATCTCAATGTTCCTAGAACACATAATTATTATTATTGTGATATACAAGTAGATTTATAATACCTAACTAATACTAATACTGTGTACCATAATGTTGCTTTGTTAAACTTAATAAAACTCAAGACAGTTTAAGTGCATTTTATTTATCCATTATTTTTTAGTAATTCTTTAATGAAAGATTAATCCAATTTTCTGTAAAAATGTCGTTTATGTCAAAATTACGGGGAAAAAAAATATAAAATTAATATTTAGGTTGTTTTGCCTCAACTTCCACATGTTTTTTATATTGGTAAGGCAACTTTTACTCTGTTATAAATAAAAAAAAAGATATATACTACATTTTTACCGTACCCTCCTTAATCAAAGCTTGTCGGTTAGTCAATTTTTCCCGTTTCTACTTTTAGGGAAAATCTTACTAAGCGACACTAACTTTAAAACTAAGCATTATTTTTAATAGTTACGTATACTATAATGTAGATAAAAAAATAAACAAATAAATTTCTAATAATTGGGGTTTTTGGACCATTACAAAAATTTACACGATTTTTTTTCAGAAAATTCAAACTTTAAACAGCTCTACTGTAAAGTTAGTCTGATGTCGCTTGGATAATTTTTCCTTTCCAGCGTCGATATCTTTCACCCGGGCCGCATCAAAGTAATAATGATTGCAATAATATTTTTTTGACGTTCCGGATCAAACGCCTGACAGGACCCCCAAAATGATCCATTTGAATGATCGAGCCGTGACACGATTTGTAAGACGAATCAATACTTGAATGATCAGGTCACAAGAAATGAATGAATGACACGTGATGTTAAAATCTGTCCAGCGTGGTAGTATAAAATTAATCTTGTAATAAATTAAGTAATAACTTTAATAAGGCATTGAAATTAAAAAGGTGCTGATGAATCTAAATATTAATATTTTCCTTATATATATATATATATATATATATATATATATATATATATATATATATATATATATATATATATACACAACATGTAACATAATTAACGCACTTTGAGAAAGTAGTTTGTTCAGAATCGTTTACTGAATCGATTTCTATCATTTTTCATATAGGTAATTTTTTATCCCAAAATTAATTGAAAATACGTAATTTACAGTCACACTAAACCTGTACAGTCAAAACAAACTGAAATAGACCGTAACTCAAGGCAATAAGACTTTTAAAAGTGCAGTTTTATTTGTATTAATACAAATTCCGTCATTCAATACAAAATAAAGAAAAATGAACCTTATTTCCTGGGAAACTGGGATAGAGCGAGATAGCACGTTACCGGCGCGGGCGCTCCGCGCTAGCCGGCAACGATGAAAGCTAACTTAAATGAAAAGAATATTAATTATAATTCATTGATTTATATGTTACACTAGATAAGTAATTTCCGCGCCAAAGCGTTGTCACTTCACATAAGGCCACAGCCTTATACTCAGCGAACGTCGGTTCAGTGTTCAAAGGTGACGCCGTCCGAGTTAAGCCGAACGATTCACAACAAAAAATGGGTAAATGCGTAGTGAAAGAATGCGTTTCAAGGTCACAAAAACATAATAAATCAAGCGGAATCACTTTCCATACGTAAGTTTTAATTTATATATTCATATTAACGTTTAAAACACTAAAAAATTAAATAAAATATCGAATATTGCAATTTAGGTTCAATGTTGCCACTTTTCCGCCTTTGTGATTTTTCCACATTAATGGGAGACTGTATAATTTATGGAATAAGTTAATTTTGTTTTAAAATAAACAAGTAAAATTGATTGCTTAAAAATAAAAACTATGTTTCAACCTTTATACAAAATAATTATTCTTATTTTAGTTTATTCATGAATGGTCTATTAATTATATTTTATTATTTTATATTATATTAATAAATTTGCAGTGTACCTAAAGATGCAGCACGCAATGCAATACAAGTTGATCATTCCCTTTTATTGATTAATGCCATTATTTATAAGTACTTAAAAATAAGATTGTACCACGAAAGTAAATTATACACTCAAACACACAAAAAAAAGAATCCAAAAGGCAATTATATAACAAACTGATGCTTCATAGCGGAGTTTGAGAGCATGGACTATTATGAATATTTAAGCGGATTAGTATTACAGATTAAAACCATTTATATTATCTTACAAATAGACTTCCGCAGAGTCACGCCTGAATCCATTAACTATCCTCAGTATTGTTGCAAAAAAAATATAAAAACTTTTTAAAGTTGTTAAGTAGTTTAGAAATTCTATAAACAAGAAAATCAACGAAATTTATTGATAACCAAAGTTTTTGTAGCTAATGTCATGAGACTAAATTTAAGAGACAAAAACTTGGTGATGATTTCACAACTTATGCATATTCAACACAGATCTCGCTTAAGAAACCTAAAATTGTTTTTTTTATTTGCTTTATTTTTTGTTTGATTTATTAGTACAATAAAAATAATATATAAAAACATATTTTATTTCATTACTTATGCTTACTTCTGTTCATCTAATAAGAAAATATACAAATTTAAAATAAAAACAATTTACTGCAACTTTGAAAAAAAAAACTCCTTTATATTGCTCATTTTGGGTAAAATTTCATAAAGTATGCAACACCAACCCGCCACTGCATGTTTGTGTGTCTATCTTTATCTAATCTTAGGGACGATATTGTTTTCCGCGACTTGTGTAAGTGAGACAGATATATGTTTACTTAAAAATTTTAATGATTTCAAAGCTACGTCGTCGCATTTGGATAGTGGTTACACTTTGTTCGACGCGCGGCAATGTGGTTTGCTCCTCTAGTCTTGTATAACTCAATGTTATAATTAGTAACGCGCGGACATTATGAGTAGAAAGTGCTCACGAGAATTTTTGCAAATAATTTTTCGTGCGTGATGTCTTTCCAATACAGCAACGTTCAGTACACCGAAATGGTAAGGACTTTGGCACAGTGTGGTGATAATGTGGCTCTAGCTTGCAGAACATTCAACCAAAGGTATGGTACAAGAATAGACCGCAGGACTATGTTAGCTGCTACTCAACGGCTTCGCGACCACGGAACGTTCCGTCCGAACACGGCCATCGACAGGGGAGCCAATGTACGTACACGTAGTAGTCTTCAGAACGAAATACTGGACTATTTCGATGAGAATCCCCATGCCAGTACTCGAGAAGCAGCCCCACGCTTTCAATGTAGTCATATGCATGTGTGGAGAACACTTCGTGGTGATAAAGAACATCCATTCCACCTCAGAAGATGCCAGGAGTTGACTCCAAACGATTACGCACCACGCTTGCAGTTCAGCCGTTGGTTATTAGAAAATTGGCAGCGGAACATAATTTGGACAGATGAAAGTACATTCACACGTGTGGGGATGTACAATCAACACAACACACATTTATGGATGCACGAAAATCCTCACGCATGCAGAGTAGATTCCTTCCAACACCGTTTCTCAGTTAACGTCTGGGCTGGTATCATTGGTAGACACATACTGGGGCCTGTGTTCTTACAAAGATTAACAGGAGACGCATATTTATTGTTTTTACGAGAAACTCTACCTACGCTGCTAGAAGACATACCTCTTAACAATTTACAAGAGGTATACTACCAACACGATGGTGTCCCTGTTCATTTTACTAGGAGTGTTCGACAGCACCTTGATAATGAGTTTGGAGAGCACTGGATCGGACGCAGCGCCCCGGTTCAGTGGCCTCCCAGATCAGCTGATTTGACGCCTCTTGACTTTTTTGTGGGGACGTATTAAATCATTAGTCTATTTTAGTGAGACAAGTGCCGAGGACCTAAAAAATAAGATAGTGAACGCTTTTGAAATAGTGAAAAATGACACTAAAGTGCTTTCTAAATTAAAATACCAGTTAAGAAAACGCTCATTAAAATGTATTGAATAAGGTGGTGGACATTTTGAAAGTGTATTAAAAACACAACGTGAACGTTGCATGAGTGTTTAGGCTATCAGGTATCAGTAAGTTAAGTATTTGTTTTTTTTTAATTATTGTAAATATTTAGATTCACATCTTTTAAATACGCCGTATTTGAATTATGGTGGAAGTATTGTCGCCTCTTATTTTTAGCAGTTCGTTATTATTTACAATTACAATTAAAATGTTATGATAATTCATAACAGTTTGTAACGAATATTGACTATACATTGTATCGTAATCAATAAACAAAATTATTCACAGTCGACAGTCCAAAGATTGAAGTGTGATGTAAAAATGGAATCAAATGTTTACTAGACCTAATAAACAACTCGATGCTCGGAGTACGAACATCAGTTAGTGTTCATAGATAGGTATTTTTTTTAACATAAACAATTGTGTATTTACGGATGTCGGCTTTTTTCGGCACTCTAATACATACCTACAGTTGTGTCAAGCGACGGCGGCGGTAACTCGTCTCGAACGCGAGCGAATACCTACTGGGATAGCATGACCCTCAAAACCTATACCTACGTGAGCGATCCTGCGTGCGTTCCTTCGTGGATTTATACTGTGACCACAACATTGTTCCGGAATTAGTATAACAAATTTAATAA